TTAATACCCAATCTGATCGTCAGTCTGCTGCTCTATTAAAACAAGAGTTCTGTGACGCTAAAACAGCACAATGCTGGGGCCCCAGAGGACCCCCTCGATTAGATTTAGGGAACGACTACAATAGCTTTACGTATCCGCAGCCTATCGCACTCTTGAAAACGGGGCTAGAGAGAGGAGGGGGGGGGGGGAGGTGGGACCTGACGCATCTGATTATATTTAGTGAACGACTATAATAACCCATTTTATCCGCAAACGCAAAGATAAAAGTAAACATTGAGTAAATTCAGGAACTGCTTCTAAACTGTTGTTGATTTAAAAATAATTAATAAACAGTACATTCCGTGTATAAAATAAATAAAAGGTAGATTTAAAAAAAAAACCGTAATATGCACGTTTAACAGAACAATTTATTTCTTTGCATTCCCTTATAATATTTTTTCATGCAACATTTGTGATTGATATATATTTTTTTCTTCTTCAATAACAAGTAACACAAACAGGGGTGACGTTTTGGAGGCTTAATAGCATTTCAATTTATTTCACTTTGAAAATGGCTTTGAGAAGTGAACAATTTTGCGTACGAACATTGTTACGGAGCGAAATAGTTTTAATTAAATTAGTTAAGACTTATACATAATTTACACTATGTATTAGGGTGGAAATGGTAGATAAACTTATTTGTTAACAGAAGAAATATTTTTAAAAAGGCAGTGTTATATAGCTCTACCATATTCTACCCTTACCCTATGTGGCACAGAATATCAAATTAATAAACCACACAAACCCCTCTGTGGTATATAATATGTGTACTAAAAATGTTCAAAATATAAACACACGTCTACAGTATTTACAATATTTATAGAACCAACCAAGAGATCTATAACATGTACGGTGGAAATACGTAAGATAAGAAGCCTGAGACAGGTAGGTCGTCTAGAAAGAATTTTTAACATTGGAGAGGGGGGCGGGGGAATCGGCAGGGCAGGAAAATTCTGGCTCGGGCTAAGAATAATTCATGTCCTGAAATACAAAACAGCTGAGTAGTCTTAATGGCAAGCAGCCTAAATCAATCATATTGAAGTCAATATATATATATATATATATATATATATATATATATATATATATATATATAATGAGGATATTCTATCTATCCGAATAATATATAGCAAGTGACAGTACATAGCTACATGTTATATTTCATTAGCTGCATTAAAACTCTTCTCGAAATAGTGTAGATGAGATCTACAGTCATGACCTAAAAACAATAGCATAGCCTAGTTTCAGGCAAAAAGTGCTATACTTGTTCCAAAAACAATTTTTTCCAATTACAATATCATAACCAGCCGTAGAATTATTCTTTTTTCGAACAAAAACCTTTATTGATAATAAACTGACTTGTTAGACAATAAGGCAGGTTATGCTCAGGAAAATAATCCTTACACTTTAAAAAAACTGTTTTTTCGATGCTAGATATGACTGCAGTTCATGCCATGAAAACATAAGATATGTTTGTTCGTGAAGTAAGTCAATAACATTAGAAACAAACAACCCAACTGTATGTAAAAAGCAGTTTAGAAAGTTATTTTGCCCTACCCAGATCTTAAGAGTTGATAACAGACGCACAATGAGTAGGTCTATTTGTGCTACGATACATGCATTTACCAGATAATGGTAAATTATATCAGAACATTTTACAAACTGTCTTGTGACAAAATCTTGCAATAAACATTTCTCAACAACCATTACATGATATTGTGCATGGTTTCTAGACATTATGAAACGTTTACAATAAATAAATTATATTATACTTAAATTTAATCTTGCATTATATTTATTTAAATCGTTATTAATAAAAGAAACGTTATTAATAAAAAAAAAGTGTTACTGAACAATATAGGATTCTAAAATGTATATAATTGAATGTTGATTTTCTTTAAATGGATTTTATGTCTATCCCGTTGGGAAAAATAAGCTGAACGTATGAAAGTCGTAAAAATAAATGCTAGGAAATTATTGATATTTGAGAATTGCTATACACATTAATTCTTTATTACTGACAACCTAGTTAGATGTCTATTCCTATAAACAACTACAATGCTTTACGTTCGAAGTGGTATAATTCTTTGTCCACGGTATAAAAAAACAAACAAGGAAACCTACAGATAAATTAAACTTAGAACGACTATTATCAGTTTAGTCATTTGATTGTAGCTACAACGTTTTGAAGGTAATGTATACATCACCTACAAGCCTTGCACTAGTTTAGATCAAGCCTTTTCATTACCATTTTACTCTTGCATGAACTGTATAGTATTATCAGATAAAATGTTCAATTAATTCTGAGAATTATTTGAAGTGAAGTTTACTTAGTCTGAGTTTAGTTACATAAAGTCATGGCGAAAAGCATCGAACTGCTTTCAAAACTGTAACTATTTAAAACTACCAGCTAAAAGTAACTTGATTTTATAACATGAATTTTACTATAGTAATTTACTTGATGAAAATTAAATCAATATATTTAAAAGAAAAGACATATACAATAAAATGCAATCAAACAATTATGGGGATTGTGTTGCGGACAGCAAGGGTCAATATGAATGGAGAGAATGGTAGTAACATAAGTTATGGTGGTTATTACATTAATGAGGATATTTATAACATACATAACAATCTTGAGGTGGTTAAATCAGTGAATATGGTTACTGCAATTATAAAATTGGTGGTGATAGTATTAGTTAGGGTGGTTATAGTATGTGTGAGGGTGGTTATAGTATGTGTAAGGGTGGTTATAGTGTGTGAGGGTGGTTATAGTATGTGTGAGGGTGGTTATAGTATGTGAGGGTGGTTATAGTATGTGTGAGGGTGGTTATAGTATGTGTGATGGTGGTTATAATATGTGTGAGTGTTGTTATAGTATGTGTGAGGGTGGTAATAGTATGTGTGAGGGTGGTAATAGTATGTGTGAGGGTGGTTATAGTGTGTGAGGGTGGTTATAGTATGTGTGAGGGTGGTTATAGTATGTGAGGGTGGTTATAGTATGTGTGAGGGTGGTTATAGTATGTGTGAAGGTGGTTATAGTATGTGTGATGGTGGGTATAGTATGTGTGAGTGTGATTATAGTATGTGTTAGGGTGGTTATAGAATGTGTGAGGGTGGTTATAGTATGTGTGAGGGTGGTTATAGTATGTGTGAGGGTGGTTATAGTATTTGTGATGGTGATTATAGTATGTGTGAGGGTGGTTATAGTATGTGTGATGTTGGTTATAGTATGTGTGAGGGTTGTTATAGTATGTGTGATGGTGGTTATAGTATGTGTGAGGGTGGTTATAGTATGTGTGAGGGTGGTTATAGCATGTGTGATGGTGGTTATAGTATGTGTGAAGGTGGTTATAGTATGTGTGAAGGTGGTTAAAATATGTGTGAGTATGGTTATAGTATGTGTGAGTGTGGTTATAGTATGTGTGAGGGTGGTTATAGTATGTGTGAAGGTTGTTATAGTATGGGTGAGTGTGGTTATAGCATGTGTGATGGTGGTTATAGCATGTGTGAGGGTTGTTATAGTATGTGTGATGGTGGATATAGTATGTGTGAAGGTGGTTATAGTATGTGTGAAGGTGGTTAAAATATGTGTGAGTATGGTTATAGTATGTGTGAGTGTTGTTATAGTATGTGTGAGGGTGGTTATAGTATGTGTGAAGGTTGTTATAGTATGGGTGAGTGTGGTTATAGTATGTGTGAGTGTGGTTATTGTATGTGTGAGGGTGGTTATAGTATGTGTGATGGTGGTTATAGCATTGTTAAGTTGGTTATAGTATTGTTGAGGGTGGTTTTTGTATGTGTGTTGGTGGTTATAGTATTGCTGATTGTGGTAATAGTATTGTTGAGAGTGGTTATTGTATGTGTATTGGTGGTTATAGTATTGCTGAGGGTGGTTATTGTTTGTGTGAGGGTGGTTATAGTGTTGATGTTGGTGGTTATAACATTTTTCATGCTTCTTATAACAATAGGTGTAACCATGGGTTTTCCTTTCTTCATTTCCTTACTTAACACACATTTTACTCTTTCTTTCTACTTTCTCGTATATACGAAGTATAGAGAAAGTATTGTAATCGTGCACAGAAATCACTTGAAATTTTAACAATTTTGACCGTATTACATCTCAGTCCTTTATCACACCCGAAGTATAGAGGACTTATTTTAATCGGGCAAAAATTATCAATCCAGATTTATCAAAATTAAGAGGTTTTATGCGTAATCCAGTCTGAAAAACTGGGATTTGCAATTCTGTTCGTATGTCTGTGTGTCTGTCTGTCTTTGTGTGTGTGTGTCCGTGTGTAAACACGATAACTTGAGTACCGTTACAGCTAGGTTGATGAAATTTCATATAAAAGTATTTTATCAAAATCGTAGATCCGTATCAACTTTTGAGCGATTTCCGATTACCGGAAATGGTACTTCTTCTACTTTGAATCTTTCAAAAGCCTATAACTTGAGTACTATTTCAGATAGATAAATGAAAATTAACATGTAGGTATAAAATCTAATTCTCTACCTTCTGTTAAATGTTGAGTAATTTCCGTTGACCGGAAGTAGTAATTTACGCTATTTCCGATTCCTCAAAAAACTTATGTAAATTTTTAAAGTACTAATAATATTGCGCACTATTATGCACTTTTTTTTTGGCATTCACTTGGTGTGCAATTCTTTGGTCTACGAGATTTTATTCTATTTTTAAAACTTTAAGTATTTAAAATGGATTAAAAATCATGTCTATAGCCCGAGTTCCCATCCCCTGTTGTTTTATATAAGAATATTCGAGAAAGTTTAGGGGAGATCACTCCCGGTTTATTTATCACAAAACACATCTCTGCATGGCTCTTCTCTTTTGTATTTGTATGTATTAATTCCATATAAATAATTCATGGAATCAATGGATGAGTATTTTTATGCGAGTTTTAAACTTACAGATTGCAGATTTTTGTATTCTCTTTGAGTCGATGGAGACTACAGACGCGCTCCTGAATCATCCCAAACAAGCTCCTACAACATCACCACAGCAAACCGTTGTATCGGACACCACCAACATTATCGTTGATGTCTACATCATCACCGCCGGCTCTACCTTGTTCGCCATTTTCGGCATCATCACCAACGGCATCAACCTAGTCGTCTTCGCCAAGATCGGCTTCAGGGCATCCATGAATCTGACGCTGTTTGTCCTCTCTTCGAGTGACTGCCTCGCCGGATGCTGCACTATAGCTTACAACATTTGCCGAATCTCCAGGATTTTCCCCAGCGATTCTATCATAGATTACAAAGTCCCACAAAGAGGTTTCTCATTTGCACGCCTCATCTTTAGTGACTTGTCCTCTATCATAACGATATATATTTCTATCGAAAGATGTCTTTGTGTCACGTTTCCATTCACTTTTAAAACAATGTTCACAATGAAACAAACGTACATTATATTCGTCTTCATCTTTATATTCCTACTTGCTAATAACATTCCTTTGTTTTGGACCATGTGTACCCAGTTGAAATTCGACGAAGAGAAACATTTTTACAGGTATGTCGTTTGTGAAACAGCTATTTACTACGAGATTGTGATGGCACATGACATCGTATCCTTGGTGACGATTCCATTCGTCTGCCAAATCGCGACAATCTTGTGTGTCGTCATCATGTCTAGAGCTCTCAGAAAATCATCGACTGTTCGCATGGCCGTGAAAACACTGTCTTCTAATTCCACCACTCCCACAAATTCCGGTTTGTTAACGGTGAAAGAGAAACGGCTGGTAAAGATGATCTTAATTCTAGCCGTGCTGTATGTCCCAACAAGCGTGCCAGGCTTTACAATTGGCTGGGTCAGGATCTTGTACCCCCAGATTTTTCAATGGTTAAACTCTGGGGTTTTCAACTTGTATACCATCAACAACCTGTGTACCATTTCAGGGAACATCCATGGTGCTGTCACAATTTTTGTGTACATCACTTTTAACCCTGGGTATCGTCAGTTTTTCAATAAGTAGTTAACCGAGCGAAATCGCAAGTAAAAGAAATTCGTTAGCAAAAGCTCCCTTCAGAAAAAACACTTTTATTTCTACATGTAGGTCTACATACTAAAGAAAATTATCAATAATTATTTTTTATGAACATTTTTATGCAATATTTTAAATTTAACAATATAGTATAATTTACTTTTTACTATTGTCCAACAAAGCAGGATATAGTTGCATAAAATAATTACATACTAAACACGTTTTTTTTATTGGTATTTTGCATGAATATAATTATATTTTTATTATTTCCGAAATAGCATTTAAAAAATATTGAGTCCGACAACTTGAATATAAATATTTTATTAACTTTTAAAGCATAATTAGTTCACTTTTTGTTTTAAGAATATCAATTTCTTTAAATGTTATACATACATGTGCATGTCGGTTATTACTATCCCGTAAGTAAGCTTATCCAAAAAAATTCAAACTCACCTCTCTACCCTTGTCATGCTCGCGAATGACGTCTTTTATGAATGACCCCTCCAACCCCCCCCCCCCCCCACCCCAAACTTGAATTTTGATTCACTTTTAAAAATGTGTTGCATTTATGTAATCTTATTTATTTAAATTTCAGCATTTGTTGACTAAATATTCCCCTTTTTCACATTTTATGCACTACTATATGATTATTCCCTTTATACACATTTTAAGCACTACTATATAATTATTCCCTTTATACAAATTTTATGCACTACTGTATAATTATTCCCCTTTATACACATTTTATGCACAAACCCAATTTAAAACAAAAACGTAAACTAATTAGGTGCTCTGCGGTTGTATCTTTCAATGCTTTCCATTTTACATTGCCATTTATTTGCTTTTTCATAACCTTTTTTTGCTGCATGTTGTGATTTGTTTAATATTTTGAAAATCCTTTCAGAAATTAAGTATGATTTACATTCGTTTTTAAATTGGCGATTTTAAAATGAGAGATTGACCTTTTACCTTTACAAATTGACGAAGTAGAGTTCACATGTTTCTATGAGCAGATTAGTTTAAATAATTTAGTTTTAGAAAAAGAAATCAATATCAATACACGGAAAAAAACTTATATTTTAATAATAAAGTCATTTTCAGAAGGAGAAAAAACAATTGGCTTTGTTGATGTTTCTTTCAATGCGTGAAAAGCTATTTAATTGTGTTATGCAAATGTTTATAGTATGTACGTGTAACAATCTGCCTTAAATAGCACACAAGCCACGGCCCTTTCCGGAACGTTTTTCTTGGTGGCCAGTGCAGAGCCTAGCCGGAACGACTATTTATACATAAAGTCATTTCATAGCCATCCATGAAATTATGAAACTGTATATGGGCTACACCTGTTTAACATGAACTGTTCCATTCTGCTTTATTAAGCTTTTAAAAAAAAGTCTTTCTCAACTCCATGGATATTTGAAAATGTTGTGATTCTTTCAGCATGTTTGTAGAGTGTTACAGAAGAAGTTGATTTTGTTTTAAGCATTGTCTGAGACAAGGTTTCCACTTTAACAGCGAATTTTCATACTTGGCCAAAACAACAACTGTCGCTAGCATTCCATTACATTCTTAGATTAATTTCGAAGTTGGAGAGTTTATTGCAAAATAGGCTGATGCACTTATTAAAAGAAATGCATAAAAACGTTTTAATAACACATTTTTATGTAAAAATGCATTTAAAAAAAAGAGAATAAATTATTTTCTTTAAATATATACTGCTAGTTAAATTAACAATAAAGAAAGCGTAGGTCTCTTCGTAAATAAAATTTAATAGTGTATTATTATATAAAAGCTTGTTATTAAAACGTTTTTAATCCTTTTTACTTTCTCGTACAGGAAGTATTGTAATCGTGCACAAAAAATTACATGAAATTGACATTTTTCAGTGTTTTACTTCTCAGTACTTCATCATATACTGAGTAAAGGGGACTTATTTTAAATCCAGATTTATCAAATTTCTGCGTTATACGCGTTATCGAGTCGGAAAAACTGGGCTTCGCAATTCTTTCTGCATATGTGTATGTGACTAATTATGAGTAATTTTCGTTTACCAACATTAGTGCTTTACGCTGTTTCCGATTACTCAAAAACGCATTTGATTTTGTTAATTTCTATTCCATTTTTAAAAGTTTAATTAATTAAAAATTAATAAAAAATCTTGTCTATATCCCGAGTAGCCATCACCGCAGTGTTATATAAGTATGTTCGAGAAAGTTTATGGGAGATCACTGCCGCTTTATTTTTTATTTCCTAGAATAAAATGCATTGTAAACTGTGAAATAAACTATTCAAAAAGTTGGGAATGAATGATCTAAAATTAGAAATTTCACTTTCGAATCATAAAGGCCTGGAAGGGCCAGGGGTTTGATTACTTGGGAGAAAAAATCGTCCAGTTCTACAAGTTTAATTAGAGGAGAACAAAGAACATGCGTATAAAAGCACACTATCATTCTGATAGAAACATTACAGTTAAGCTACATTGAATTACCTTCTGAAAGAAACATTACAATTAAAATACCATCTGATAGAAACATTACAGGAAAATTACATTGAATTACAATTGTATTACGTGGGAATAGAATTTTAAAACAATGTTTAGGCTATCATACGAACCTCAAGTAAACTTTGAAGAGCAGGTTTTGTTAAGATTTTAAGGCTAACAAGAAAAATCAGGACACTAATTTTGAATTTTAAAAAAAGTAAACATATTTGGATAAAAATGATAACATAAACTGTAAAAAAAATAAAAATGTTTGTTTTTTTAAAAAACACAATAGAGTTACATTACTTAAAACAATTACGCACAAAATGAACAAAAAGTAACGAAATAAAAAATAAAAATGCGGTAAAAAGTACTTCACATAAGAATTTATAATTATTATTAAAAATATTAATTTAGCATAGTGACAAGAACAGGTTTTATGAAGCTTTTTTTTTAGAATAACAAAAAAAATCAGGATATTTATTTTGCATTTTAAAAAAATGTTTATATATTTGTATAAAAATGATGCATTAAACTGTAAATCAAAATTTTAAAAAATTAATTTTGTTTTTAATACAACAGAGCAGTGGCGTAGGCAGGGGGGGGGGGGGGTAGGGGGACCCCCCTAGACCCCTCGGTATATATATAAAGTATGAGGGGGGTGGGGTGCAAATCGAAAGCTTGAGGGGGGGGGGGGGTGCAAATCAAAAGTCTGTGGGGGAGGGTGTAAATCGAAAGTTTGAGGGGGGGTGCAAATCAAAAATTTGTCCGCCGGGTAAAAATTGGAACCCCCCCCCCCTTCAGAGGATCCTGGCTACGCCACTGCAACAGAGATACATTACTTAAAACAATTGCGCACAAAATAAACAAAAAATAATGTACGATTAAAAGCGCGGTAAATAGTACTTTATTTAGGAAATTTTGTTTAATTCTTGAAAAAAAAAAGACAGAGAACGCAAGGTTAGATAAAAGCTTCTAAAAACTGACGGTACCCGGGGTTAAAAGTAATGTACACAAAAATTGTGACAGAACCGTGGATGTTGCTCAAAATGTTACACAGGTTGTTGATGGTGTACATATTGAAAACACCAGAGTTTAACCACTGAAAAATCTGGGGGTAAATGATCCTGACCCAGCCAAGCGTAAAGCCTGGCACGCTTGTTGGGACATACAGCACGGCTAGAAGTAAGATCATCTTTACCAACCGTTTCTCTTTTACCGATAACGAATCGATGTTCGCTAAGGTGGATTTAGATGACAAGGTTTTCCCGGCGAGGCGAAAAGACGATGATCTTCTGAGAGCTCTAGACATTATGACGACACATAAACCTGCTGCAATTTGGCAGACGAATGGAATCGTCACCATGGATACGATATCATGTGCTTTTACAAGCTCAAAGTAAAGCGCTGTTTCACAAACGACATACCTGTTAAATTGTTTTTCTTCGTCAAATTTTAACTGGGTACACATGTTCCAAAATAAGGGAATGTTATTAGCAAGTAGGAATATAACAATGATGGCGAATATAATGTATGTTTGTTTCATCGTGAACATTTTTTTAAAAGTGAATGGAAAAGTGACACAAAGACATCGTTCTATAGAGAGATATATCGTTATGATAGATGACAGGTCAGTGAAGATGAGTCGAGCGAATGAGAAACCTCTTTGAGGGACCTTGTAATCTATGATAGAATCGCTGGGGAAAATCCTGGAGATTCGGCAAATATTGTAAGCTATAGTACAGCATCCCATGAGGCAATCACTTGAAGAGAGGACGAACAGCGTCAGATTCATGGATGTCTTGAAGCCGATCTTGGCAAAGACGACTAGGTTGATGACGTTGGTGATGATACCGAAAATGGCGAACAATGTAGAGCCGACGGTGATGACGTAGATATCTAGGATGACGTTGGTGGTGTCCGACACGACGGCCTGCCGCTGTGGTACTGATGGAGGAGATACGTCGGTCTGGTTTTGATTGGCGTTTGTTATCTCCATCTATTACAAATAGGAATCACTGATGTGTGAATCTATGAAAAAAAATGTAAACACTATATATAATAAAGTTATGATTTAGTTGTTTTTATTTTTATGAAATATATGCTTTTTTCTTTAAATGTTAACAAAGAATACATATCCACACTTCACATTCGGTAATATTATTCTCTCTTGGGTTTAAGTATGAAAATAAATTAATGAAATAATTTACGAAACACAAGTGTTCTTCGTAAGGAGTGATTGTATTAGGTGCTAGAAGTTGTGCATTTCTTATATAATGTAAAAGAAAACAATTATTAGATAATTAATAATATTAATGTTGTATTGATTTACAACTGATAAACATTTTCATAAGTGTATATTTGTGTTATTTATTTTGAGAGCTTTTATGTGTATAAAAAAATAATATACTTCATGTTAATGTATAAATTGAATTCGAAACACACAAAAACTTTGTCTACGAAAAAATATAACACGTTATAAATCCGACAATTTGAGTAAACATTTTCA